GCCCGCCCTCCCACCCTGCTGCTACGTGCCTATTTCCATTAAATTCTCATTATGCTGAATTTGTCTTCTTCTAACCTGCTGGCTTTGGGGGATCCCCCCCCCCACACCACCCCACACCCACACACAATATTGACCGCAGCTTCATAAATCCATATATACAGTGGTGCCTTGAGATACACGTTTAATTTCTTCTGTGACTAAGCTCTGTGCATCTCAAATAATCTTTTCCCATCGAAATGAATGGAAAAGCCATTAATCTGTTCCAGTCTCTCGAAATACAATTTGGTCATGTGTTTTCAGTGAAATAGTAGCACTCTCTCATCTTGGACTTTTTAGAAGAAAAAAAATGACAGTCATGGCAGAACTGAACCGGTTTGCCAGATTTTTTTTTCAGTTCAATGGACACTGTGCTGTTCCTTTTGGTCTGCACGCTTTGACAACCCCGAGCAGTATAATACAAACGGATGGCACCAATCGCATCTCTCCAGTAAACCGCGGTAATCGTAGTCATTCTTCAAAGTATAATTGTGAGTGTTATGTCTCTATAGAGTGTGTTGCTCCACCATTTGTGCTCAGATAGCCGTTGTTTAAAGCTCTGAGACGCAACACCAATGCTTTTCGTTAGCCTGTCAAAGGAATTTTGCATCGTTTGTTAGCAATGACTCAGCAGACGGTCCTAAGGGAAAGCGACATGGTTGTTTTAAAGGCACTAAGTGTAATTCTCTTTGTTTTAGGTTTACTTTTTACAGTCAGCTCCAACTAGGAGTGGCAATAAACAGCTTGAAGTCTTTTTTTTTTTTTTTTTTTTTAATTTTAAAGCTGACTCGCTGTCAAATTGCTGCTTTTTGTGAAGTGACCTGCGTTCAATGCGCCGTATCTAAAATGTCTACCTGCGGGTGAAAGCACAAACATTGACCCAAACAACGGTTCTTATCTCAAAAAACGCATAAATCGGGTCACTTGTATCTCAAAGCGCGACTTGAGCGAAAATTGAATCTGTGGAGGGGGGAAAAAAATGACTTCGTGTGGGCTATTAGAGTGGGGCAAAAAACAAAGGCAGGCATAGGGAAGGCAACCCAATTAAAAAGGATGCTGGCATTCTCTTTCGTTGTCATTCGAGTCGGTGCGGACTTGAACGCTGCCTGCTTTTCAGAGCTCGTCTGCTAGAGCGACGAGGAGGGCTTCACAGCTGAGGCTCGGCGTCACGCGGTGCCGATCATTGTCCCCCTCACACTTTCTAACGAGCCATTTCACAACATCCACACAACGGACCTCGCCACGCAGCAGCAGCAGCAGCAGCAGCAGCCGCCGCCTCCTTTCCACGCAAACAATTTGGATTAAACGCGCCGATGTGGCCAGCGGTGGGACTTGCTGCCACTTGGTGTCTTTTTTACCCATCGACTGACGCTCGCTTGCAAAGGGCAGAAGTGATTCGCGTGGGTTCGGATGAACCCCCAACTCCGAGAGGGCACTTTTTGTTCGCACGCGGGGCGTCATGTGCACGTTGGAGCATTTGACGCGCGCGGCGCCGTCCCGAGAGTCCGATTTGGGATTACACTGACACCCCCGGCTGGCCGCCTTTATTGACTTGAAGCAAAAAGGGGGGTCGATTCCCGGTTCCCGGTTCCCACTCCCAGGCGGCTTTGGAGTCCGTTCGGCCGTCCTTCGGGCTCCTGCGGGACTCCATGCAGTCGCAAAGGTCGGTTCGTGCGTATTGAGCTTCAAAATATAAACGCGTGTGCACAAAATGAGCGACGTTTCCCCCGCAACGTCAAACATGTCGACTGTTGCTGCCAGAAAAGTGAATGCAAACCTGTGGAACAAGCGTTTTATTTCCCGGCCATTCATGGCGTCTAAAGCCAATCACTCACGACGACCCCCCCCCCCCACACACACACACACACACACACACAGACACACACTCTCCACACCCCCCACCTGCCCGTCTGCCTTAGCTGCGCATTTTCATGTTACTCAAAGCCTAATAGCATGACAGCCGCAATTAGCACTAAGCGAGCCGTCCAACGAGGTGGACGTTTAATGGCAGGTCTCCGGAGGTCCAGTTTGTTTTACAAGCGCCATCTGTTCGAACAGGGTTGGGGGGGGTTCATCGGACTGACTCGACGTGAACCCGGGTTTCCGCGTCCAACATTTCGAGCCGCGAGGGTCGGTGGATACCGCATAAATCAAATACCTGACCAGATTTTTACAGGCGGGATCACAGATCGAAAGGCCGTGAGAGCGGAATCTTGGATTGTTTCAGATGTCTCAGAGCGGTGTGACACACGTGATGATATGGATTATTCGTAAACATAGAGCTTGCTTCAGAGTATAAATGACAGATTTCTGTGAACATTTTGGGGGGGGGGGGGAAATGCAGAAACTCAAGAAATGACGAATCCTGTTGCTTTGACTCAACCAGCGTGAATGACTAAGAACCTACAAGAACAAAGAATTTATTTATTTATTTCATCAAGCCAGTGACTTTAAAAAAATGATTTGGGCAATTCTGTTTGTCACTCATGATATGTACAACCCCGTCGCTCATAAAAATGACAGATTAACGTTGTCGGCGCTGTCCTTCTGATTGGACCTCAATGATCCTTTTCCCCCTCAATTGGTCAATCAAAACATGCGTTGTAATCTTGCAACTCGTCTGAATGCACTAAACATACTAAACGCACATTCCACTTGGAATTGTCGTTTCAGAGCCATATAGGCCTTGCCAGATAACGATCGTGATCACAATATGGTTTCCCGTCAATCGTCCAGCCGATACGACACGATCGATCAGTGACTTGGGCTGTCATCATTCGTTGCGTGGATTTATGAGTCTGTGGAGTTTTCTATAGATGTTCAACCGTACCGCATGTTTAACAACTTAACTTCATCATACACTCTACCTTATAATTTTCTACTTAGAAATGATTATCTTGAGGTCGTCCTAACCATTACTTTGTGGAGTGTCACTCAAAATGATTCACACCCAAGTGCCAAGAGGAAGTCTGCAAAAAAAAAAAAAAGAAAAGAAAAAAAAGCATCTTCATCCTCAGGCCCGAACAATTAATCAAATTGCCCTAAGTGCCATTATGAGCTTTGCTGGTGTTTGCATGTCTTTACAACCAGTTGAGCTTTGCTGGTGTTTGCATGTCTTTACAACCAGTTTGTTTATACCATCTATCTATGTATCTATCTCTTCGTGCTCATTATCTATCTATCTATCTATCTATCTATCTATCTCTTCGTGCGTGTTTTTACAATTAATTCCCATCGCAATGGGGTAACGCACAAATACTGTATCCCAAAAAAAAGACCTACTGCAGTATTTTGTACAAGTTTACTACCAGTGCACTTTTCATGTGTGTACATGTTCAAAATGTCCCCCTTTCAAACTTCAACAGGGATTTTTTTTGGGACTCCCTCGTGATGTAACCTTCAACATAGTTGAAAAGTGAGTGTGGGGATTGAGTTGCTGAATTCGTCGTGCTTCGTGAACGCTTCAGTGGCTCATCGTGGAACAAGTCTGCGCATTGAGGTGTAATTGGAACTCTGTGGAGGGGAGGGGGGGGTCGAGCGACCCCCACCTGCCCTCCCACCCCCGACCAGTGATTGGCTCGCCGGATCTCCCCTCTCCCTCGCTCGCTCTCTGCCCGACTGACTCGCACCCATTTGCGGCTACCCCACCGCGCTCCCTCCCTCCCCGCCAAGGAAAGAAATGACCTGCTCGCTCGCTGCCTTTCCAACCGCGGCTGGCTAGCTTACTTTCGGTCCACTTACCGACGGGAAGGGGAAGTGATGAGAGCGGACGGGCCCGACTTGAGACTCGTTTTCCGGGCTTTTCTCAACTTGTCCCCCGCTGTGTGGCCCCTTCCACCAGGCAGAGGAGTGAAGGGCGACCCCGAGCTGGATGGATGGTTATGGGGAAGAGAGGCAGACCCTCGGCGATTGAAGTGTGCAGAGTCTTCGTCCTCTTTTTGTCGCTCCTGCCCTCAGGTAAGACGCAACTTTTTTTTTTTTAATTTATATCCATAGATACAATTTTTTAACGAACTGAGCAGCTTTTCACCTCACTGGGCAACCTTCCTCCAGTTGTTTGCGTTTGAACCGGTAATATTTGGCGCCGCAAAAGTGTTGTAAATCGGCCAAAGTGTCGTAAAAGCATGCTAAATGCTAACTTGTCCCGCAATTAGCAACAATCAATTGCGACAAATGAGGAGTCAGGCTGCCAGATTAGAGACGACGTGTTTCCTCTTGTGACGTTTGGGGAAATCATTTCAAGGGGGTAAATGCATTTAATGCATTGGAAATGTATTGCCACGTTTGTTTTCAGTCTTTGGAATCACCGTGTTGGATTGGTGAAGTCAGAGAGTAACTAGGAGATGTTTTTTTTTTCCTGCTTTGTTTTGTTTGGGGGGATGGGGGGGGGCGTGCTTTGGGGTTTTAACAGTAGCTCGTGGAAAGTTAATCCCCCCCCCCCCACCGCCTCATTGCATTTGCTCATACCAAAGAAGATGTCTCAATGTTGAGCTCGATCTTATTGCGGTCTCTAAAAATAATTTTAAAAGAGTGTGCGTTTGAGTGAGAGCATGGGGAATTTGATACTTCAGTCAGCCTTTTTTTTTTTTAAAAAGCCATTGCTTTATTCAGAAACTTGGAAACTTGGCACTGACAGGTTTCAAGTAACTCTGGCAAAAACTCCGCTAATAGGAGCACATTTGGAACTCAAATAAACTGAACGGCAGCACTGGGACACTTTCACCCCTCTTCACAGAGCTCTCAATGTTTGCCAAGCCCCCATCAGTGTTCCCTCTTCGGTCACTCACCATCCAACAACAAGGTGATAATGTGTTGAGAGTTGCAATTATTAGATTGCTTTATTGTCATCTGGTAGGATTTGGAGACAGTGGTGAGTCTTTTAGGGTGGCTGGTGTTTAAAAGTGGGACTTTATAGTCTGTGTTTGTGTGTGTGTTTTTTAATGCACCCTGCATTCCTAAAAGCATCACAAGTCTGGCGCTGTGTCGTAATGTTTGAATAACATTTGAGTAAAGGGCTGCCTGAATTGGCGACAAGCTACTTGAGTCGTGTTTTTCCAAATAGTACTACCTTGAAAATACTTTGCGTGGTAGACTTAAAAAGCGTTCATCAAAAAGGACACAAAAGTAAATGGAAGCCATTGTAAAACCTTGATTGACAGTCGGTGCAACAGTCAAGTGTAAATAGAAGTTAACCACTGTAAAAGGAGAAGGCGCGAAACCTCTCCAACTTTTACTCTAAACATCATGGTGCAGTGATACAGCTCGGAAATACGTTCAAGGTCCAACTGTCATTAAAAGAAAAAAAAAACAAGAGTCAAGTTATTTGATATATTTTTTACATCTTCCGAACCGTATTACAAGTGCAAAAAAAAAAACAAAAAAAAAAACAAGCTGCAGCCGTTTTCTCGAGTGCTTATCCTCATTAGGGTTAGAATGAGATGGGGCTGATCCCAACTGGCTTTGGGTACTTCTTGGACTGGTTACCAGTCACTTGCAGGGCGCAAATAAAGAAACAACCATTCACACTCACACCTACTGGTAGACGGAACTCTTCCAACTGTAAAGAGTCAAATCAATAAAACACGCTAACTCAATTTGAAAGACAACATGGCGATGTTGGCGGCACCTTGAAATGATCTGTACCTTGGTCAAAATGTCAGCATCATCAAAATCTTAATTGCCTTGCCGATAATGTTTTTTTTTTTTTTTGCATTTGTAACTGTCATACAAGTGTAAAAAGAAGTTAACTTCTGTAAAATGTCAATACAAAACACGCACTCTTTAATCATTTAACAATATCAAGTGTACAAACATTGAGTAATAGATAATAATCGTAAAAAAAATATATATTTTGCCATAAACTCGAATGCAAAATCCATTTTTAGCTGAGTCACCCAACCGAGTCTCAAAGTAATCGTTTGCGACAGTTTAAAGCTAGTTCGGGAAACATGCGCGTCATGTTGTGTCGTTCTTCCCAAACAGTGAGTCTGCAGTGCAAGATCCTCAAGTGCAACTCTGAATTTTGGGCCTCCACGACGAACTCTGGGCCGGAGGAGGAGTTCTGCACGGCGCTGCGCGCCTACAACGGCTGCGTGCGGCGCACCGCCCGCACCTGCCGAGGCGACCTGGCGTACCACTCGGCCCAGCACGGCATCGAGGACCTCATGAGCCAACATAACTGCTCCAAGGAGGGACCCACGTCGCAGCCACGCGG